CGTTTTTAAATATTTCTAATGATGCAGTCCTTATCACTGGAAATACGATCTAGAAATAAATAACATTATTTAATCAATAAGTGTATGTCACCCAAATTTGAGTAGGTAAATGAGATAAAATAATAAAATATAAAATAAAATAAGATTATTAGATAAAATTTCTCTTGAAATAAGACAATGCATCTGTGTTTTCTTATTTTAAATGTAAATTGTCTTGTTCTATTGACAAAATGTCTCCTTTACCTCCTCAATCCAAGAAAAAATGACTTTCAATTTTTTTAAATAACATTTACCATTCTACAAAAAAACAGAAAAATGAGTGTAGTTGAAATATTTTCTCCCTTCAGCAGATGATTTGTGAAGAACTTTGCAGATGAACCAGCAGGAATAATCGGATGTTTTATTTCTCAACAAGCTGCATCAGGACTGTTCCAGTACTACAATCACTAAAGAGAATATTGTTTGAATCTAACTTTATTTCATCATAATGTCAGAGAGTTTAAAGTCTGCTCAGGTCATTTTAGTGGTTTTATATCATGAAATCAGAAACCTTTCTGTCAGTTCAGCCCCTGCAGAGCGTGAGAATGGCGCCATATATTTCCTGATGGGGAAAGTCCTGCTGCAGAGGTCAGTGTGCGACACTCAGATGACTTATTACAGTAGTGATGCAAACAGACTGCGTGTGTTTCTGCTCCTGGTGACATCATCAATGCCGCCCTCAGATGGCAGCACCTTCACCTCCTACCCTGCCCTCCTTGGGAGTGTTTTTGGGTGCGATTAGAGGGAGATAATTCGCCCCGTCTGCCTTTCATTCGGCCATTTTTCACTGCTTCCTGCCATCATCACTCTTTCTCAGATGTTTCTGCTGTTTTGCATGCATGTTGTTTTGCACTCTCCACGCACGTCATAAACAGCTTATCAAAGCAACAATAAACCGCCCACACAGCCCTCCCATTACAGCCCATTAGAACCATTTGCATTGTTGGGATTCTCCCTGTGATGGATTGGTGCTGCTCATGTAATCTAGCGTTAGCGTAGATGAACCTATGGGCTCGGTGGGGAGATTCAGCCCTGAATGTACGATCAACGCCAGCCTGGCTAATCGATGTCATGGAGGTGTCGCCATTAATGCACATCCATTACAGCTCTGCTTATTCTATCGCTGTGAAGCCATTTATTTATGAGGTCATCCGTAGCAAACCGTGCGCTTGTTCCGTCGGATTCAGGACCGCCTTTTCCTTTACAACAGACGGGTTCCTTTCAATAAGCTATTGAAACTATGTTAAGTCTTAGGCCTACTTAGAAAGCTTTTATGCAAACCTTTTACACGAGTGAACACATGAAAGCAGCGTCGCTCACATCATCTGCCATTTGTTTAGGGTTTTTTTTGGCAACCATTTAAAGCTTCGTAGATGATGGATTGCTTCACCTTTTCCATCATCATATAATTACCTGCACACCTTTTCACACCGGTTGTTCAATTTAAACGTTGAACTTTCATTAGAAAGCAGCATCAAAAGGAAAACTCATAATTTCTCTTCAGGAGCTGGAAGAAAACCTTAGCTGGTTCATGACCATTTCTTTCTGCAAATAATCATCTATCTGAATTATATGGAGCATAATTCATGTAATATTAGAAGTACACTTTTCCTCAGCATCTTTAGGCAAAATAAGAAAGATGAGTAAAGCAGCTAGAAATTAATTTTGCTTAATTCAATTCAGTTTATAATTCTTCCTCATGTCGGCTACTATTAGTGATCTTTCATGCCATCTGGAGAAGAAATGCATCCTAACAGGACACAGAAACAGCTGATCGGTCATGTTATGTCAATTTTTTCTATGCTTCTTATTTGAGAAATGAGTTTCCATTCATTTTATGCACAGTTACCTTTTTTCACCGAAGTGGAAAATCACCTGGAGCAAATGTTGCTCCTTTAGTTCGATGCTGTAAAATGTGCAAAAGAAACAGTTGTTCAGCTGCTGCTCTGACATTCAGACTATCACCGCGTCTTTCTAGATGTTCACTAACTTAAGAAGATCAACACGACATTAAATGTTTTTTTTTTTCCATTTTTAACAATCGCTTTTGGAAAATGCATTGAAAACTTTGGACTTTCCCAGAAACTCAAACTCTAATAAAGAAACGATTCAACTTTAAACTGATTCAATGCATTTTAAAGTAATTTTATTTTTCTCCCCGAATTCATAAATCTATGATTGGGCCGCCTGTGGAGCTGGTTGACAGTTGCCTTTTGTATCTATGCTTCTTTTTCTATGTCTGCTTCTGTCTCCTTGAACCCCAGTGGGCCTCAGCAGATGGCCGCTCACACTGAGCCTGGTTCTGCTGGAGGTTTCTTCCTGTTCAAAGGGAGTTTTTCCTCTCCACTGTCGCTACAAGCATGCTTAGTGTGAGGGATTGCTGAAGAGTCAATGAGTCGATGCAATCAGCTGGTTTTCCTTAGATAGAAAACTTTGAATCAATCTGACTGGATGATCTGGTGAACTGGAAAGGGACCTGAGATGACATGATGTGAATTGGAGCTATAGAAATAAACTGAATAGAATTTCTTCTCTTAATCACATGTTTATGTTAGTCTCATTATCTGACTGTACGTAACATCATCACGTTACGTCTGCAGGTAAATGATCATCAGGAGAATGATGCAGCAACCAGAGAGCCTAGAAATGTGAGAGCAGAAGCTGAGGTCAGAAAGCGTCTCTCTCTGCAGGTTTCCACACGCCGAGAGCTGCAGCTGCTGTTCTGTTGGAACGAGGCGGTTTGGCGACTCTTAGAATTGATGCCAATAAGAGGCAGCAGTGATGTTGTTGGTAATATTCCCAGAATAAAGGCAGGATGGTTTAAAACCGATAAGCTTCAATAAAAAAGAGTTTTAATCATTGTTTGTTGGTCAGAAACACCTTTAAAATAAGACATAAAGCAGGTCTGCTTGTTCTGCAACATTAGCAGCTTGGAGCCGTTTCTGCCTTCGCTCCAGTGAAGCAGTTTGTTTTATACCAAACAGAATAGATTTTTAAATTGAAGAACAATTTCTGTTTATGTTTTTAGGTTTATAAATTTCCTTTGAGTGGACAAAATAAAACGCTTTTAGTTTGTTTCTCTGTGGAAATTCATGAAAACACTAAATGCCCCTTATATTTAAAATGTTGCTCAGTTCTTTTGCATTTTTGACCAAAAGGATCCGGAGGGGGGGCAGCTCTAAAGCAGTGGTGGAGCCAGAGGGGGAGTCAGGGTGGCCCCACCCCAGAAGAAACCCTTGCCACCTGTTGCCAATGAAACAACCTATTCTCATTATGTGTTCGTATGAAATCGTACGAAAAGTTATGCACCGTAATTTCGTACATTTTTTTCGTCGTATGACCATGTGCATCTGACGCACCATTTACGAATCTAGAATATAAATTACAATTAGTCCTAACCCTAAGATATAAAACAGCAAGCAACGTAGTTAGAGACATGAAGAAGTGATGATTGCACTGTTTTTCCCAGTTTTACGTCCGTCCGCGGATCTGCTTTTTTTTTCTGTCTGCCAGCGCACTGATGTGGTTTTTTGAGGAAAAACGTCCAAAACGTACGAAATAGTGTGCATAACTTTTCGTACGATTTCATACGAACTGATAATGAGAATATGCTGAATGAAAACATTAAACTGTTTGAATTCTACGAACATTTGCAAAGAGAACAGTCAAATTTCCCAGGTGAATTGAATGCATCCTCACGCAGCACTTTTCATTGGTCAAGCTGACATGTCTGAGAGATCTCCAGCGACACACAGATCCTGTGTGTCGCTGGAGATCAGGATCCAGATATTAGACCGAGCCGACCCTACAGCTCCTAACAGCAGCTTTCTGTGGGATTTTCATGCCTCTAAATGTGGTTCTAATAAAATCCATCCATTCATACCTGCTTGTCCTTTTGGGGCACAAGGAAGTGACGGCTGTGACCGAGGGGGGGGACTTCCTGCACAGCTGCTTTGGAGAATTCATTTTTCTTTTCAATAAACCACTTTGTAAAAATGTAACTTTTCTGTGTGCTTTTTTTTTTTTCAGTCAGTCTGGTTCTGCTAAAAAGGCGGCCCTTCGCCTTCCAGGATGTTTTTATTTTTGTAATCCCATCAGCATAGAGCTGTGGCTGCAGACAGAAAATGTTTCTAACCAGTTTGTGTCGATCCGTCACAGACAGAGGTTTAAAATAATGTAGCTTTTAGATTTAGACATATGGACTGTTGGAGTTATTGTAGCTTTCCTGCATGTTCTGCATGATCTATAAGTAATGACCAGAGTTTATGGCACCATGCAGACTGAAGCAGCACTTCAATGACTGGGAGGCAAATCACACCGATCCATCTTACTATCACTCTTGACCTTTGACCCACAGGAAGCAGTCCAGCTTTTTCCTGGCCTCGCACTCAGAGGAAGTGACCCTCATCCCGGTTCTGTGCAGCTGTGCGTGATGAAGGTGAAGGCTGAAGAAGCGTGGAGGACCGAGCAAATGTTTCTGATCATGCAGAGCCTCGGCTCTCATTAACTCTCCGTAATGTTGCACCGTTAAACCTATGGAGTCTTTGTCCAATAAAAAAAACACTTTTCCATTCACTGGTTAGTGAAAACAACTGCTTAATTTATGGATGTGGATTTGCGCTGCATATGGTTTGTTGGTGTGTGACCTTCAGAGCTGCATAAGCAGGTAGGAATGCAGAGTGTCTTCTGCAGGCATTGTTTGAAATTCTGCAATAATCCCAGGTGTGTGTGTGTGTGTGGAAGACAACGCTGCGCCGCTAATAAGGACTCGGTCTGACAGCAGGCTGACAGACAACAAGCCAGCTTTGTGCTGAGCTCCTAGAATATTCCTGGCATCTCTTGGAAAGGGTTAACTCCTGGGACACAGAGGCAACTGTGAATCAATTTAGATTCTGCACATTCTGAGGTTTCTCTCCTGCTCCTAATAACTAGTCACACAAAGGACACCAAGAGTCAGTGAGTTTAATTTGAAAATATTTTCTCTTTATTGAATTTTCAAGGTTGGACAGAGTGAAGCACGTCTACAAGGAGCAGTGCTGCAGAGAAACTGTGTGTCACAGTGAAATGCTTCCAGTAACGAGACGCATTCTGAAATCGATTACTTGAGTAAATATAAAACACTGTTTTAAAGAGAGGGTTTCATTTAATAAAGGAATAAAATGATTATCCAAACCAACCTAGGAGGCAGTTAGTCCTCAGATCTGGAACCTTTGCAATAAAACTCAGTCTTTATTATATTTGCCACTGAGTGATGATCTATGGATCATTGTCTTCATGCTGGCTGATCATTGTCCTTCAGGATGTTCAGGTTCTAAAGGGGAAAAGCAGCCCACAGTGCACACCATTCACACCAGCATGGCTGCAGGTGGCACTGGAAACCTGTGCTGGTTTTACACTGCAAAAAATGGAAATCTAAATAAGTCATTTTTTTTTCTTCAAATAAGTGCATTCGGAGATAAATGAGACTCCATTCCAAGTGCATATTATCTAATGACCTTATTTTAAGAGTAAATATACTAATTCTATTGGCAAATCATCTTATTTACCTGCTCAGATTAAGGTGAAATACGCTTATTTTAATTCCAAAAAAGTTTAAAATCAATCCAATGGACTTTGTTTCCAAGTTTGAAGACGTTTCTCTTCCATCCAGGAAGATTTTTCAATTCCAAATGTCAGAAATAGCGTTTAGTTCCAGGTTTTATCCAGCAGCCCAACAAAGCCTGGTTTTAGTTTAGAAAACATGCAAATAGAAACGGATGAACGGGTCCCCCCCTTTGGGCTCGTTACTTTGAAAAAGTAATTAGTTATAGTTACTAGTTACTTCTCCCAAAAAGTAACTGAGTTACTAACTGAGTTACTCCACAATAAAAGTAACTAGTTACTAGTAAAAGTAACTATTGCGTTACTTTTGCGTTTCTCGCCCCCGTAACCCTCCCCACCCGGCCCCCACCTTCTCGCCGTGTGTTTCCAAAGCCAGCTGAATAGAGCGGACGACAAAGACAAGAACCTGCAGAGAGTTTAGCATTTATTGCAACTCAACGTAAATGACATCAGGGGGGAACGCTATCTGACGGGCCTATAAACCCCGTCAGAAGATAGTGTTCCCCCTGCTTAACATGGGGGGACGCTATCTGACACCCGCCAGCGGAAACACCCACCTACGCAACTGACAGACGGAATCTCAGCCAATCAGCCAATCTCATCCTCCCCTCTCTCATGACAAGGCGCGCACGAGTCCTATCATGAAAAAAGGTTCATTATGCGACCTGAGTAACGCGCAGTAACGGGGTGTCTGCAATGGTAACTGCGTTATAGTTACAGTCAAAGTAATTAGTTATATTACTCGTTACTAAAACAAGGTAACGGTGTTAGTAACGAAAGTTGAGTCGTCGCCCCACCTCTGTTTAAGGTTGGTTTTTCTTTCTTAACATAGATGGCTTCCTTCACGCTAGGGATGCACGATATAATGGGCCCCCTATCCGTATCGGCCTTAAAACTGAATATCGGACATCAGCCACCCCACCGATATTTAACCCCATATTTGATCAGCTTCTGAGTTTCTAAAGTCTAAAAAATAAAATAAAATACTACTTCTTCTTCCTCAAAAACTTCTTTTTTACAGACTTAAAAACTTCTAAAGACGAGGGAAAAAATATTGATCCATTAAAATATCCCAATATCTTCATATGCTGATATATTGCCATTTAAAAACACCATATCAATCTCTTTTACTAATGAAATATTGCTATATGTCATCGTTATGCTACGAAATCCCCCGAAAATTCACCAAATGTTGCCATATTTTTATACAGGTGCTGGTCATAAAATTAGAATATCATGAAAAAGTAGATTGATTTCAGTAATTCCATTTAAAAAGTGAAACTTGTATATTATATTCATACATTACATACAAACTCATATATTTCAGATGTTTATTTTGTTTAATTTTGATGATTACAAATGACAACAAATGAAAATCTCAAATTCATCATATCAGAAAATTAGAATATTGTGAAAAGGTTCAAAATTGATGGCCCCTGGTGCCACACTCTAATCAGCTAATTAACTCAAACCACCTGCAAAAGCCTTTAAATGGTCTTTCAGTCTAGTTCTATAGGCTACACAATCATGGGGAAGACTGCTGACTTGACAGTTGTCCAAAAGACGACCATCGACACCTTGCACAAGGAGGGCAAGACACAAAAGGTCATCGCTAAAGAGGCTGGCTGTTCACAGAGCTCAGTGTCCAAGCACATTAATAGAGAGGCGAAGGGAAGGAAAAGATGTGGTCGAAAAAAGTGTACAAGCAAGAGAGATAACCGCACCCTGGAGAGGATTGTGAAACAAAACCCATTCAAAAATGTGGGGGAGATTCACAAAGAGTGGACTGCAGCTGGAGTGAGTGCTTCAAGAACCACCACACACAGACGTATGAAAGACATGGGTTTCTGCTGTCGCATTCCTTGTGTCAAGCCACTCTTGAACCACAGACAGCGTCAGAAGCGTCTTGCCTGGGCTAAAGAGAAACAGGACTGGACTGCTGGTGAGTGGTCCAAAGTCATGTTCTCTGATGAAAGTAAATTTTGCATTTCCTTTGGAAATCAAGGTCCCAGAGTCTGGAGGAAAAGAAGAGAGGCACTTCATCCACGTTGCTTGAAGTCCAGTGTAAAGTTTCCACAGTCAGTGATGGTTTGGGGTGCCATGTCATCTGCTGGTGTTGGTCCATTGTGTTTTCTGAGGTCCAGGGTCAACGCAGCCACATACCAGGAAGTTTTAGAGCACTTCATGCTTCCTGCAGCTGACCAACTTTTTGGAGATGCAGATTTCATTTTCCAACAGGACTTGGCACCTGCACACAGTGCCAAAGCTACCAGTACCTGGTTGAAGGACCATGGTATCCCTGTTCTTAATTGGCCAGCAAACTCTCCTGACCTTAACCCCATAGAAAATCTATGGGGTATTGTGAAGAAGAAGATGCAATACACCAGACCCAACAATTCAGAAGAGCTAAAAGCCACTATTAGAGCAACCTGGGCTATCATAACACCTGAGCAGTGCCACAGACTGATCGACTCCATGCCACGCCGCATTGCTGCAGTAATACAGGCCAAAGGAGGCCCAACTAAATACTGAGTGCTGTACATGCTCATACTTTTCATGTTCATACTTTTCAGTTGGCCAACATTTCTATAAATCCTTTGTTTTTATTGGTCTTCAGTAATATTCTAATTTTCTGATATGATGAATTTGAGATTTTCATTTGTTGTCATTTGTAATCATCAAAATTAAACAAAATAAACATCTGAAATATATGAGTTTGTATGTAATGTATGAATATAATATACAAGTTTCACTTTTTAAATGGAATTACTGAAATCAATCTACTTTTTCATGATATTCTAATTTTATGACCAGCACCTGTATGTTGATATATTGCCATTTAAAAACACCATATCAATCTCTTTTACTAATGAAATATTGCTATATGTCATCGTTATGCTACGAAATCCCCCGAAAATTCACCAAATGATGCCATATTTTTATATGTTGATATATTGACGCGGTATCGATCTATTTTACTAACAAAATCTCACAAGAATTTGCAAAATATCACAAGAGTTTGTAACAGAACGATGAAATTTCACCAGATTTTGAAAGTAAAATATATCGATACCGCGTTTTTAAAAATCGATTTGATATCAGCATATGAAAATATATTTGAGTATATTATTTTTCAAAGTGTCAGAAATGGATAACAAAACTGCTATTTTCAATGACTACTTATTTTTGTCCAGCTTCAACATCAGTATCGATATCGGTTATCGGCTACATGAGTTTTAAAATATCGGCATATCGGATATCGGCCAAAATCCCAATATCCTGCATCCCTACTTCACTCCCCTCTCAAACCACTTCTTTGTGTTCTTTGTCCTAAATGTGAACATTCTGGTCCTCCAAAGAATGTCCTTTGTCCATCAGTTGTAGATGGACAGCAGTCTTGGTTCAATCGTCTGTGTTTTTGTGTTTTTTTTTTGGAATATCTATGACCTGGATGGCTGAGAATCTTTACCAGCATATTACAGTAATTTGAAGAAATGTTGACTTATTTTTATTTTTTTTGCAGTGTAAGGACCGCTGCTGGAAGCAGGGCTGCGTCTCTGACTGCTCCACTGATTCTAGTTATTCAGATCAGTCAGCACTGTTATCATCACTGTTTGGGTTTTTATTCCTTCAAAATTATAAAAACAGAATTTAAAAACTGCTTGTTGTTGTTTACTCCAGATGCATCATGATCTGAAACATTTCAAAGTCCAAGAAGAGTAAATCTCTGGCTGTGCAGGGGATCAGTTCTTACCTTTTGGAGCAAAGACGGGAGGAGTAGCAGAAGCTTATATAGCTAGCCAGAAACCCAGCAGACAATGTAGCTGTAGAATCGAACCACACAGGAATCTACATTGTATGCCAGGTTCAGGACAAAGCAAAGGTCGGCCCAGACCGGCGGCGTCTGGGGATCCATCAACGCCATTTTTAGGACATGCATTTAACTGGAGATTAATTTGATGAACAAGAATCATCCAGAAGATGGAGAGCAGGAGGAGGAGGAGGGGACCATAACAGGAAGAAGAAGGAACTGGACAACAGCCTCTTGTGGAGCTGCCACAGAACCTCCTGTGTGTGGCTACAGGACGGCCCCCCCGACATCCAGCTGACCGCGGGGTTGGAATGCATGGCCGGCCAATGAAGGAAGAGCCGCCATGTTGAAGCGGGACACAGGCAGCGCCGTCAGAGACCCAGTAGCCAGATGTAGCTGCTGATGACTACACAGGATCTACACTGCCTACTGAGCAGCTGACGGTCACCAGAGAGCCGTGGAGAACGGAGACGCCGCCTGAGAACAGAGCAGACAGATGTGTTAGAAACTCGCACCCGGACAAGAAGAGATGAGAAACATGGAGACACGAGATGAAGCAGAAAGAAGGAGAGCAGCCTGAGGGAGGGGAAGGATATGGGAGATTATCTGCTGACGAACATCTCCAAGCCTGGCATTATCAGCCGCAGATTCCTGTCATTCTTTCACATTAGCCTGAGGCAGGACAGGCAGGGGCCACGCCACGGCGGCTCCAACCCCGGGGCCCGACACAGGACGGGACTGCCGCAATAATCTGGATGCAGGTGATGCAGAGGTAGCAGAGACTGGACAGACGTTCAGTCCCTTTCTGGCTGCATACCTGAACCCCCGTGACCCCGCCGATCAAACCTCCCTCCACCAGCTGATGGTCACTTAACTCCAGTTTCTTTTCATTAACAGAAATTAGTTGCTGCCCCCCCCTCACATTCCGCGGCGCGCAGCGCGTCTTTCTGCGTCTCTGGCAACAGAGCTGTCTCTCAGTGCTTTCAGGTTGCATCATTTGTCTTCAGTGGAAACGTGTGATAAAATGCTCGCTCTCCCACCGAGGCTTTGTACCCGGAGAACTAAAGGGGTGGAAAAGGATGTGGCCTGGGGCTCTGCTCTGCGCTGGAGGGAATACTGTTTTTTTCTTAACAAAAAGATGGTGGGAAGGGAAGTGTGGGGGAAGAAAAAAAAAGTTACCTTTCTTGGAACTGCTGTGGGTCACATGGATGTTCGGTTATATTTTCGGACCAGTCGTTGCCTCCCTGTAAAACAGAACAGTAAGAATTTAGCCTCCATGATGCAGGAGCTTTGCAGCCTGTTCAGGTTAAATAAAGACATGTTCCGTGTTTTATTGGCAGCTCCAAAGCAGTGAACATGTGTACGTTCACAGGCCTGCAGATAAGCTAATGAAGTCTTATCTCCAGCATTTTTCCACTTTGGTGATGCTGCAGCCGCTGCAAGGCAGAGACTGGAAGCGTGGAGATAAATCCCGCTCGCCGACAAAACGCTACGAGACGCTGGCCTCATTTCACCACACAGGAGGGTAGAAAGGCTTCTTGGGTTCGGTACCTGAATCCTTAAACTTGTTTTGTTCAGTTCTCCCCCTAATCTTCCTTAATTGTTACCGTATTCTCAAAGTGTTGTTCAGTTCTTCCCTTAGTGTAGAATAGAAAATCCCTTTATTTTCTAACAATGGGGAAATTCTGGTGTTTACAGCAGCGAAAAGATAGAAGAAAAATGATGAATTCAGGAATATTAATAACATTCCTGGTGCTGATATATTCTGGCGTTGCTGTTCAGTTCAGGATCCAGAGGAGCTGATGGGTCTGATGATATGAGGTCCTGTTGTACCTTCATGTTCACCTCTCAGATTAGCTTTGAAAGCATCCGATTCTTCGGGTCGGATCCAAACACACAACTAGAAGAAAGAATAAAAAATAACGCAGGTTTCCATACGGTAGCCACCATCTGCGCCATGTGGCGCCGCGTCGCAGCGGCCGCGTCGGTCATCGACACCACTGGCAAGAGGAAACCCAACCCCCCCCATCCCAGAGTACCGATGGCACCCAGTGGAGGGTGGGGGGAGGACCGGTTGGGGGAGAGGCCGGGTTTGTCATTCCATTCCTACTTGAGCCGTGCTCTGCTATTCCTAGAGTGTGGTTATATGGCAGTTGATGTGGGTTTCCTCCTAGTTGCCTTGAGGATGACTGCGCCTGACCACATCCACACGCACCAGCAACACGTTCACACTGTGACAACTGTGGGCACATGTGCAACACACGCACACTTTCAAGGAGGGGATAAAGGGGAACTGACTCATTACCCTGTTTTAGGGTCCCTGTAGAGGGACGGGGAGGGGGGGCCGTTCTTAAAAGTGTGGCTGGGTGTGTGTTGGATAGTGAGCTGCACCCCTGCTGCAAACGGTTTGTGTGCATGTGCTGTTTGTGGCTCAAGTATGTGTGGGTGGGTGTGTTGAGGATGTGAGCTGGGTGGGGATGCATTCCCTTTCTCTCCACGTCTGATCACTGCTTCGTCTCTAAAGCTGGAGCTCGGCGCTCCTTATCTGCAGTCCTTTCTTCCAGAATCTGCTGCTGGATGGCGTTTCAGGAATGGAGAAAGTGGACGATGGTTTGAGTTTAGAACGTACTTCCTCTTTCTGCGATGGCGGACGGACATGTTTGTTCAGCATCATCTTGAATAGAACTCATTGGAATATGATCAGTTTAAAAAAGGACAAGTCCAGGATGAGACAGTGTCCACTTTATGAATCAGAACACAGATATCTCTGACCACTGGAAAAAAAAACAAATTTGGATTAGTCATTTTTCTTTAAGTAAGTTCATTTGTTCTTGGATTGAGGAGGTAAAACAGACATTATGCCAACGAAACAAGACAATTTAACCTTAAAATAACAAAACACAATTGCATTGTGTAATTATCTTATTTTAAGAGTAAAAATACTCATTTACTGACTCAAATTAATGGTAAATACACTTATTTTAAAGAGTTTTGTACTCTAGGTCATTTATCCAGGGCGCCCCTCACTGATCACCAGAAACTGGGAGTACAGCGCTTCCGACCAATTAATCAGCAATCGGCCAATCAGATGCCCCTGCTCTGACAGCGTCTGAATGGTTGCTATGTGCCACTCTATGTTTCCAACCAAACAGAGGGAGCTCTGGTTTCCTGGATGCAGAGATTATGCCTCAGCCTGTCCCAGAATATTTCCTTTCCAGCGGATGATCCGTCTCCACAGAGAGACGGTGAAAGTCGACATGTCAAACGCTCTCAGATGACTACCTTGGTTAACGCTTCATGGCTTTCAGTCAATTATCGTTCTGACTTCAGGCCTGAAGGGGAGCCTGCACCGCAGCCCGGTGGGGGCGTAGGAGCTCTGTGGGCTCTTCCAGGAGGCTGGACTGATGGGAAAGAGCTGGCTGAGGGACGCATGCTCTCCTAATAATAGGAGAAAAGGTGTCTTTTTGTCCAAAGTTAGGAGAAGGGACTTTGCTTTTGGGTCACATGGTTTAGAGAGAACTTGGACTCGTTCCTGGCTGTAAATCTGCACCATTAGTTTTAACAAGCAGCGACGCAAAGGCCGGAATTTAATAAAGTGAGCTAAAGCCGAACCACTGATGTTTCAGATGCCTCCACCCTGAACACCAACAGCCCACGGTAGAAGGAGGGAGAAGGACGGGGGAGAACTTCTCAGGTAAAACATCAGGCCTTTGACTCCTGAATGAATGAACCTGCTCCCGTATCTCACTGTCACACCAACCTTGTGCAATACTTCCCGTTTCTTACTGACGTCATCCTACTTTGAATAATCAGGTGTGCTGAGTCATGGTGTTAACTGATTACCTTTGGAAAACAAAAGGAACACCTTCAGAACGCCACTCTGTGGGCCCGGCCAATTGATTCTGGTTTTCCATGACGTGCATCCGTCTCTACTACCCTTTCCTCACGCACACATTCACACACGCCAACATGTGCGTTCACTCGTACCCACACACACGCAGAAAATACTGCCACTTGTTGGAATGTAGTGTGGGGCCCAGGTAGGGGAAGTTCTGCCCATATATGAGCAAAAGAGGAAGAGGGCCAGGTGTGTGTGGTTTGAACACCGTCTACAGAACACACACACACACACACACACACACACACACACACACACACACACACACACACACACAGGCAGCAAAGACGCCCATTGACAAAGAGCACAGAGGAAACGCATGCAGGGAGGCTCCAGCTGGCTCCTCCTGCTGAGCAGCTTCAGCGTCCCGTTCTGACGTGAAAGTCATTCCTCTGAGCCTTAACTCTCTGATCGGCCACAGAATGACTGTTGCTGTATAAACAAAGACGAGTCATGCGAAAAGGAAAGCAGGGAAAGAGGGAATCAGTCAAGTCATAGTGAGGACTTCTTAACCCAGTTTTTCTTACGTAACTCTGCCGAGTCGGAGGAAACGACGCTATGTCGCCATCGCTTACTGCCTGACACCATTCATGGCTTTAGACTCGTAGATTAACTTCCCTCTGTCCACTTTCACTATGGAGTAAGACATCCCAACATGGCGGTAAACCTGATGCTGGCAGACTGGCCACAGATACTCAGTGACCCCCCCACCCCCCATTCACTGGTCATTTACCCACAGTGCTCATCTGTTAGCTCTGAAAGTGATCAACCAAGGTCATACAGGTAGGTTCCTCAGCGTTGGTCTGTAGAGCAGACACTGTCCATCAGATAGTTTGAAAACTTTTCCCCACATATCAACAGCATCACTGACACGGTTTAATACTTTCAGACGATATGACCCCTCCCACTGTGAGGAAAAACCAGTTTAAACCCGGGAACAAGGAACTTCTAGTGGCAGCGGGATCAACTCACTGACGCGTATCCACCCGGGTCAAACGACTCGGCAAGCGACCCGCATTCCGATCGGCATGCTGTGGGAAGTTGACCCGCTAAATTACATGATACCATTGAACGCATCATACAGATGTCAGCACGCCGCGCCGGTCGCTTCTGATCTAACGAGCAGAATCAACTCTGTTTCCATCGGATAAACAACAGATTATAGAGAGAAACAATAAAGCACACCGACTACGCCCTGCCTTCCTGACACGCTGCTCTCCATTGTTTACTTTCCTGATTTCTGTCGCAGTGATGACATCATTAACGCTAACCCAGCGTGGTGATGTCACCAGACACGCGGTGGGGGGAGACCACACAGTTGTCAGTGATGGTCAGACCAGCTTTATTAGCCAATGGGAGGGGGGCTAATAAAGCTGTCCCCCCCCCCCCCATACCTGTAGCTGATTCCTCTATCCAGGTGAGTCAGATTCAGACTCACACTCAGCTGCTTTAGCTGTTCAGAAACTAACGATTCTCCATCGAACTCATTCAGAAGTAAAGCTGAACGCACCTGTTGGTTGGTACCAACCTGCCACCGCCTGTTACCATCAGTGCCATATTTCCTTTCATTGTCTGTCCAACTTCAACCAATCAGCTCATGCATCTGAACAGCATCATGTCTAAGGCTGAGAAAATTCATCGGATGAATCGATTAGTGACATAATGGGCAACCAGTTTAGCATTTCATTAATCATTAACTGGAGGATAGAGTGTAAAACGAGCCTTTAGCCGACAGAGCGACACACTTAGAGCAGGAATCAACCCAAAACTCTCACTTTTAAAATTCATCTATCATTCATAGAGGTTAGTTTCATAAAACGTCTTTTGATTGAAATACAAAAAATATAATCAACAGATCAATCAATTAGCAAAATAATCATGAGTTGCAGCTCTACTGATGTCAATATTTAAATGATTCATCTTCAAGCTGCCACCATGTTCTTTCATTGAAATAAAAGAAAATGTTCTGGATTTGCTCGAGTTTTCACCGGATTTTTGAAGCATAGTAGAATGTAGCAGAGCCCCTCCCCCGCCTATTGCTTTGCAATTCCAGTCAGCATATTAGAAAAAGGAACCTGGTGAAAATACTAGTTTATGATATGAAGAGAATCTTCATGGCTAATCCTCACATGCTAGTAGATCATCAGAAATAATTTAGAACAAAAAAACACTGTTGGATGATTTGCTTGATTGAAATGATGGATTTTTGCAAAGATTTCACGCTAATAATCCCTTTAGACAGTATTTATTCCATTGATGGTCCCATCGGATTGATCTGAGTGATCAGAACATGTGAATGAATGAGGAAAATATGGATTCTTTCTGAAAACTATTCAACAATAAAAC